TTTTCTTATGAAGAGATGTTGAGTATGCTTGGGTCTGTATTCTTTACAGTTTAGAAGAATGAGGGGTGACCTGATTGAAACATACACGATTCTTAGAGTGCTTGATGTGGAGAGGTTTCTTCCCCTTAGAGACATAGAGATGTACAGCAGGAAACAGACCTTTCAGTCCAACTCGTCCATGCTGGCCAGATATTCTAAATTAATCTAGTCCCATTTGCCAGTTTTTGGCCCATATCCCTCTAAACCCTTCCTATGAATATACCTGTCTAGATGTCTTTTAAATGTTGTAATAGTACCAGCCTCCATCACCTCATCTCGTTGTTTGTTCCATACACGTATCACCCTCTGAGTGAAAAAGTTGCCCCTCTCACCATAAACCTATGCCCTCTAGTTTTGGACTCCTCTACCCTTTGACTGTTCGCCCTATCCATGTCCCTCATGATTTTATAAACTTCTATAACGTTACCCCTCAGCCTCTGATGCTCCAGAGGACATAGCCCCAGTCTATTCAGCCTCTCCCTATAGCTCAAACCCTCCAAACTTGGCAACATCCTTGTAAATCTTTTCAGAACCCTTTCAAGTCTGCCTTGTGGGAGAGTCTAGGACCAGAGAGAAAAATCTTAGACAATTTTAAAGAAGGGATTGTTGCATTTAAGACAGAGATGAGGAGGAATTATTCTTTGTGTATGTATGTGTGTGTGTGTGTGTGGGGGGGGGGGGGGGGGGGGGGGGGGGGGGGAGTGGATTGTGAATCTGGGGAATTCTTTAAGATGAAGTGTTGTAGTGATTGGGTTGTTCAGAATTTTCAAGGCTAGGTAGATAGACTTTTAATCAATAAGGGAATCAAGGTTTATGGGGAAAAGGCAGGAAAGTGAAGTTGAGGATTATCAGCTCAGCCATTACCTCATTACATGGTGGAGTAGGCTCGATGGGCTGAATGGCTTTTTCTCCTTCTGTTTCTTATCAATGTTATGGATTGTCCCATACTCTTGCTGACTTGTGCATAATTACTAGATATTGCAAAATTGTCAAAGTTCCTAAGTTTCTTTTGGCTTTGAAATGTCCTCTAGTCATAAAGACCACTATGCAAATGTAAGTTTAACAATTTTTTTTCACAAATGGCTTCTCTACAACTGGATGCAGTGATCCAGCTGTAGTAGGTGTATCCATTAACCAATAGATATATGATTCAAATCTGAAATAACTCCACAAAGGCTGGTATCCCATCACCAAGTTACCTTTTATTCACATATGCATAGTACTTGATACTTACCCAGCTAGCTCAGAGCCAGCTCCTCGATTGAGCAGAACCCCTAACACTGCTGTTTACATCTGTCAGCCAGGGCTCCCTGATTGGAGCAAGTTAACAGCCCCAATCAAGGAAATCATATTCTGAGGTCCACCTGGCTGACCTTGTTCCAATCACTAAAAATCCATCCACGGCCTAGTAATGACAATAGGATAACATATTGACTTACAACATAAATGTATCAGTGATTCTTATCCACTTCTCCTTTGCTACTTAAAGATCTCTTGTCAGAGTTCAGTCTAAATGTGAGGAATCACTAACCAGGGCTTGCGGACTTTTGTTGTCAGCTTATGTGTTAGAGGAAGGGGCAATCTCACAATTAGTACTGGTTTTACATGTGAAAGTATGCTATCAGAATGAAGAAGGGCAAAGCTCTAACCATTGCGGCCCACTTTAGAGACAGAGCCACGCTATCAGAGGGATAATCTTAGCAGGATCCATCTTGAAAAAGGAGGTTCACTATCATGAAGCATCTTAGAACAGAGCTTTCATCACTGCAAACCATTTTGGAGAGGAAGTCTTGTTGGTTATCATAGATCACAGAATCCCTACAGTGCAGAAAGAGGCCATTCAGCCCATTCAGTCTACGCCATTGAGTCTGCACTGGTTCCACAGTCTTAATCCATGGATTGCATCCAGCAAAAGTGACAAGACTCGTGGTGTACCATCATTCTATCCACCAGGACTCTGTAGAAAAATTGGATAGAATTACCAGAGACCCTCAGCTCTTTACAAAAATCCCATTTTTAGGCTCCTTTAGCGGCAGGTACCCAGGTGTTTCTGTTTTATGGCCAATGTCTCAGGGAATAGTCAAACCTAGTCTGCCAAACAGCCACATTTGGGAACAGCAGGCCTGAGAAAATTTGCAGAAACTCTTGGCTCTAATTCGGCTAAGTTCTCATGACATGCTCACAAATTCACCTCAATTTAGGGTGCCATATAAATGGAAGTTGAAAGTTGCTCATTTCAACCAGTACCCCGCTCGTGGCCTCAGATCATTTCTACAAGATTTATCACTTGAACAAAAATGTAAGTGCTTGACAGGGAGAAGGACCTGATAATTATCAGCATCCCAGTTGGCTATAAGTAGATTGCCTTATCATGCTGAAATGTGAGGACCCTTATCCCTCCTTAAGATTGCTTCATGCCAAGATAAATATACAAATAATAGGCCAACATAATCCATAGCAACTGTGCATTCCCACATCATAGCTGTACCTGAGATAGCAATAAAGGCTTGTGTGATGACACTGGGCCTGCTTCTGTGATAAGAGACTGATTGATAGTAACAATAAGAAGAAATGCTTGGGTTGGGAAAGATCAACTCCTTAAAGTGTAGAGGATATTTGAAATTTCATGCAACCAAAACCTGTTCTCCATTATATTTCCTCCCCTAGAATAGATCCCTTAAAAGGAAAACACATGCAATTTGAGCGCCTGTTTGAAAATGTTCAGCCAATGTTGATGATGTGTGTAAAGATTATTTCTTGTTGCCAAGCTCATCGTGTTATTGTTAAACATTTTGGTTGCTGAGCTATTGTGCCAAAATGTGTCATTGTTTAATAGTGTTGCTTTAATTTTCATCAACATCAGAATTGCATCGAGTACCAGAAATCACAATTGGCCTTACAAATGTGTATTTAAATCTGAGCAGTCACTTCAACCTTTAACATGCAAAAAAAACTGTGAAATGTGGTTGGCAGACGTGGTTCATCTCTTACTGTGGGAGTGTCCAACATGTGTTTCAATGCAACGCTTTAATTTAAACAGCCTCATCTTTATATGTGCTTCTAGTCACTGTTCTAATGTTACTGACCTAGTAGGGAAAAAAAAACAAAACCGAAGCTGTGCATTTATATGATAACACAGTGTGGAACTGGAGGAACACACCAGGGTTAAACCCCCCAATTCTGAAGAAGGGTCTCGACCCGAAACGTCAACTTTCCTGCTCCTCTGATGCTGCCTGGCCCGTTGTGTTCCTGCAGCTCCACACCCTGATATCTCTGACTCCAGTATCAGCAGTTCTTATTATCTCTGTGCATTCATATAGAGCTTTTCACAACCAAGGGCAATGTCAGAACACTTTGTAACCAATGAAGCACTTTTGTAGTATTGTCCGGTGTTGTAATGTAGGAAACGTACCAGCTAATTTGTGCACAGCAAGCTCTCACAAATCCATCAATGTTTGAATAAAAACCAATCGAACTGTGGATGCTGGAAATTAGAAACAAAAACAGAAATTGCAGGAAAAGTTCAGCAGGTCTGGCAGCATCTGTGGCGAGAAATCTGAATTAATGTTTCTGGTTCAGTGACCCTTCCTCAAAATGGTTGTCAGACCTGCTGAGCTTTTCCAGCAACTTCTGTTTTTGTCAATGATCTTCAAAGTTGCTTGAAGGCTAAATATTGGCCAGGACTTTAGGAATAACTTCCCTGCACTGTGCTGTTCACTCACTGCTGAATAAATCCCAAATCTGGACACCCACATCTGTCTGGGTAACTTCAAGAATATTAACGGGAATATGGATTTTAACCAGGTTAAAGTCTGGGAGAAGTGCCACAGGGAAGTACAGGTGTGGCAATTGTGGACCATAAGACTTTGTGATTTTCAGTCTCGTGTGAGTGCTGCTCGTCACTCATCAGAGAATCCCATTCTGTTACAGCTCCATGGTGGCTCAATGATTAGCACAGCTGCCTTGTGGTGCCAGGGAACTGGGTTCAATTCCACGCTCGGGTGACTCTCTGGGTGGAGTTTGTACATTCTCCCCATGCCTGTGTGGGTTTCCTCCTACAGTCCAAAGATATGCAGTTGAGAGTCAACCACATTGCTGCAGGTCTGGATTCACATGTAGGTCAGACCAGGGAAGGATGACAGTTTCCTTCCCTAAAGGACATTAGTGAACCAGATGGGTTTTTCTGACAATCGACAATGGATTCATGGTCATCATTAGATTCTTAATGCCAGATATTTTACAGAATTCAAATTCCACCACTTGCTGTGGCAGGATCAAACCCGGGTCCCCAGAACATTATCTGGGTCTCTGGATAAATAATCCAGTGATAATACCACTAGGCCATCACCTCCTCATTGTTTGTGTAGAGGTGTTGTATCACAATGCATAAGCACCTCGGCCCCTGAGCCAGAAACTCCAGGTTCAAGACACAGCCTAGAGATTTGACAGCCAAGGAAGGAATCGTCACAAAAGTGGACAAACAGACTAAGACTCAGAGATAACAAGGTGTAGAGCTGGATGAACACAGCAGGCCAAGCAGCCCTGCTCCTATGATGCTGCTTGGCCTGCTGTGTTCATCCAGCTCTACACCTTGTTATCTCAGATTCTCCAGCATCTGCAGTTCCTACTATCTCTGATACAAGATTAAGACTCAACCTGCTAAATCCTTTCATCACATGCCACTGTCAGACACTAAGAGCAGGAAAGATTCCTGGTCTGTTGTGTGATGGAAAGGAAGCTCTGACTTCCACCATCAGTATTCATAGCCCCTGAGGCAACATGCATGTAAAATGGTGCACATTGCCATAGCAACCCAGGCTCCCCATCAAATAAGAAACATTACTTCTATTGTATGTCCTGAATAGTGTATTCACAGCTTATCAAGTAAGTATTTGAGAGCAGAAGCCAGTAAGTTATTAATGATTTAACTTTAATGCTGTCTTCCAATAGAGAGTTAATCAGTAATTTTATTAACTAGTCCTTGCATTTGAAATCAGCTGATACCCTTTTTTTTAGAAGTTCTTTGGTCTCTTGTGGTGCACGGGTAGTGTCCTAATCCCTAGGCCAGAGGTCTGCAATAAGAAGAAAAACTGGTTAAATTAAGAAAAAGCTTTGGTCTCTTATTAGAATTTTGAACAGGGAGATGAAGGCAAAAGTCAGGGTGTATTCGTAGGTGAAGGAGACAGAAAACCATGAAGAAGACTTGGGCCACAAGCAGTTATTTTTTAAAGTCAAACAGGGCAACTCACCAATGTGGAAAGTTATGGCATGTTCATATCATTGTGTAATAATTCAATGTCATGTTGTGCTGATTGAATGTGATGAGCTCTATAAGTGATCATCACTTTAATTCTACCCACTTTCATGGGTGGGTGCAGCTCCGACAACACTCAAGAAGCATGACACCATCCAGGATAAAGCTTGAGTGGCACCCATCCACTCTCTCTCTCTCTCTCTACTGCTGATGCCCAGTAGTAGCAGCACATAGCACCTACAAGATGGATTGCAGGAATTCACAAGGCTCCTTAGAGACCACCTTCCAAACTCACTACCAATACAATCTAGAAGGACAAGGGAAGCAGATACAAGATCCCTCCAAACTGCTTACCATCCTGGGGACACGGAAATATATTATCGCTCTCTGTGTCGCTGAATCAAACTCTTGGAACCCATCCATTTGTAGCATGCTGGGTCTGCTTATGGCACAGGGACTGCAGCAGTTCAAGAAGACAGCTCACCACCATTTTCCCAAGGACAGCTAGGTGCAGGCAATAAATACTGGCAATGCCCATACCCCATGAGTGAATGAAAAATGTCTCCACTTATCGAATGTTTGCTCAGTTGTGATTTGATGATGCTCAGGAAGCAATAGCTGCCCAGTCTGCTCTCAGTGGTGGACTGAGAAAAGAATGACAGCAGAGCTAATTCCTTACCTTACAGGATGTAACCCTCATCACAAATTGAGCACAAACTGGTGCTTTCTCTGAAAGAAAGCCAGACACAGCCTTGGCATTGGAAATAGAAATGCCACATACGTCTGTGGTCAGATTGGAGCCCTCTACTTTTTGCTGCAAACAAAGGAGCTTTAAGCAAAATCTAACCTGTGCTCTACTTCACCTGGGGGTAACACAGGCTGATACCAGGTGCAACAAGCAGCTAAATATTTCTGTCTCCACCATTTGACATTCATCATCTTGATGAGCATGAAAAGGAATCGCTAGCCCTCTCCCACCCATTGCATGTAACAACAGGCTGTCCAGTTCCCCTGGTGATTCAACCTGTCTTTTTTTGTTAAACTGAAATATTCACAACATCAGCAGATTGATCCATGTGCTTCTTCACAAAGAGAGTGGAGCTGACCCATATTGATACTATTGCACACACTTCCACCAGGACCACAACTAATCCAGAAACTATTTGCTCAGACAGTTTTGTTGGTAGCAACCTGCAATAGGCAGTATAAAACCCAATGAGGCAGCCTTTCTTAAAGGACTATGGGTAACCATTAATGCGGATACATGCTGCTCAGCTCCTGGAGCCTTCAATTCCAGATGTTGCGAAAAGCTTTTGATAACTCCTGTTGTACACAAGTTATATTAATTGTTCAGATTGAGCCACATATGGCAAAACTTGCAAAATGATATCAAACTGGGAAACCAGTGTGAGAAAGTGTTAGAAAACTTGTAGACAGGGCAATTAAGTGGCAAGTAGTGCTCTTTGGTGGGAAGAATAGAAGTTTCACTCTCATCTTAGAACAGAGAACATTGAACAGTACTGCATAGGAATGGGCCTTTTGGCCCACATTGTTGGGCCGAACATGACACCAAATTAGACTAATCTTTTCTGCCTGCCCTTGCTCCATTTCCTTCCATTCCTTGCATATTCATCTGCTTATCTAAAAGTCCCATAAATGCCCCCATTGTATCTGCCTCCACCACCACTCCTGGCAGTGTGTTCTAGACTCCTACCACTCTCTGTGTAAAATACTTGCCCCCTCATATCTTCTTTGAAATTTCCCGCTCTCACCTTAAATGCATGCCCCCTAGTATTAGACATTTCAACATCAGGAAAAAGATTCTGACTGTCAACCCTATTTATGCCTCTCATAATTTTATCGACTTCTACCAAGTCTCCCTTCAGCCTCCGCTGCTCCAGAGAAAACAACCCGAGTTTTTTCTATCCTCTCCTTATAGCTCATACCCTTTAATCCAGGCAGCATCCTGGTGATAACAAGGTGTAGAGCTGGATGAACACAGCAGGCCAAGCAGCATCAGAGGAGCAGGAAGGCTGATGTTTCGGGTCTAGACCCTTCATCAGAAATGGGGGAGGGGAAGGGGGTTCTGAAATAAATAGGGAGAGAGGGGGAGGCGGATAGAAGGTAGATAGAGGTGAGGATAGGAGGTGGAGAGGAAACAGACAGGTCGAAGAGGCGGGGATGGAGCCAGTAAAGGTGAGTGTAGGTGGGGAGTTAGGGAGGGGATAGGTCAGTCCAGGGAGGATGGACAGGTCAAGGGGGCGGGATGAGGTTAGTAGGTTGGAGATGGGGGTGCGGCTTGAGGTGGGAGGAGGGGATAGGTGGGAGGAAGAACAAGTTAGGGAGGCGGGGACGAGCTGGACTGGTTTTGGGATGTGGTAGG